TAGAAAAAATTGCAAAATTCTTTTTGCCTTGATCTAAGTTTTCATGCCTTGATCTAAGTTTTCATGCCCTATGTAAGCATAAATTTGAGGTAAAGAAAAATGAAATTCATGTATTCTGAATGAGTCTCATTTTATACCATTCCCCCCTCCCACCCCTGATTATGCAAAAAAACAAAACCAAAAAACAAAGGGCAAGGCCATTCATGTGTGTATTTTTAATGATGGGTCTCAGAATGACAAAGAAATTGGAGTGGTGGATCAGTCAACATTTCAGACACTCAGGCACAGTGGTTTGCAAATTCATCCTGTGGTGTCTTCACTGAAAAACCACTTTATCAGAAACAAATTCATTGCAGTAACTGATTCACTTCCCACTACCACCTGTCTCTCTCTGTGGTTTTTTGGTTTTTTTTTTCATGAACAGCTCTTAATCTCCACTGTTCACTAATAAAAATATTTTAATAAGAGATAACACTGTAATCCAAATGCCTATAGGTGCTTGAATCAACTATTTCTGCCTGTGTAATTGCTAGCACTTTGTTCAACCCTTCTGAAAATTGCTATTAAATCTCATTCTCATTTTGTGTATTAATAGAAGAAGAATTCATTTTTAGTGTAGCCTCGGAGCAGTAATGAGCATTGTTAACGTGTAGCAACAATGCCCAGGGGGAGGTTTTCAAAGCTGGCCTAACCTCAGGGTTTGCTGCTGATGTGCTGCAGAGTCATCCAGCCAAGAGCTCTCGGAGCTGCTCCATTCAGGGAGTTCAGCTGAATATTTCTGCTCAGTATACCGGAGGAATTGTCAATGGTTTAGGTGCTGACCCAGGGAGAAAGGGGTTTTCTTGTTCAGTACCTTAAGGATAGAGGGGCAGCACTAAAAAATTAACACCTCCTGCTCATTTTAAAGTTCGTCGAATTGTGCGTTTGTTCTGATGATTTTGCTTCCTTGCAGATTTTCATAAGAGGTTAATGAGAAAAGATTAACAATACTGCACATGGGCAGGGGAGAGGAAACATAATCGTTTTGTTATAAACAAACAATAGATGTTACTTTTTAACTGCTTTTTCGGAAGCCCAGTTCTGCCTTCCTGAAGAAGCATTATGTATCTTTTTAAATTCAGAATATTATCCTTATTATGTATAGCAAAAATAAACCTGCCCAGAGCTGCAGTGCTCCACTGATTGCAAGTGAAAGCCTTGGCCACAATAAAGCAGTCAGGACCCTGGAGATAAAAAGTCCTTATATCCCACACAGTAATGAAACCAGGACCTCAAAAGTGCAAGGAAAACAATGTTATTCTGTATCACTCCTGTAATACACCGGGTTTGAGCCTCTTAATTTTTACCCTGTGTAAAAATTAAGGGTGTAAGGACTTTACCCTGTGTGGGATAGAAGGAATTTTTATCCATAGAGCTTTGACTGCTTTGTTGTGGCCAAGGCATTCACTTGCAGTCAGTGGAGCACTACAGCTTTGGGCAGGTTTATTTTTCCTACACATAATAAATAAGGGTAATATTCTGAATTTTAAAAGAAGACATAGTACTTCTTCAGGAAGGCAGAACTGGGCTTCCGAAAAAGCAGTTAAAAAGTAACATCTATTGTTTGTTTATAGCAAAATGATTATGTTTCCTCTCCCCTGCCCATGTGCAGTATTGCATGGTTTTAGGTGTATTTTAGATGATAGTTGAATATTTCTGCAGAGGTTTATTGATCTGAAATCTGATGCCATTAGAGAAGCAGGGGAGAAATGTTCTTTTGTTGGAGTTCAGTTTGTCTATTAAATAAATACACAAATTATTGTTGTTTAGCACAATTATTGTCATTTAGCCATCTTGTTTCACAACACTTGGTCACCACTGCCCTTTCCTTGGGCATAAGCTGGAGATGTCCTGAAACATTTCAATATGAGTAGACAAGTTCAACAATGCAAAAGCTCAAAAATAGCGAAACTTTAAGAAATGTGGTGCGTGTTGTGTGTTTCTTTCCATTTTTTGGAATAGGAGCAATTTTCCTGTTAAATATGTTTCAGAGCCTTGCAATTTCATAAACACATGCTTTTCCTTTGAGAGCTGGGCCTGGTACTGCTTTTTCTGTAGAATAGTTGGTTTGTGTTGCAGACAGAGACTTTTAAGAGAGAACTCTAACAAGGGACCTTTTATAAAATTTTATCGAATGTTTGTTTTAATTCTCAAAATAAATCAAATTGAGGTGAGATGTTGAATCTGATAACAGGAGGACAGAAGGTTTTAAAAAGCATGAATGAAGGCTTTATAGATTTTGTTTCACCCCTCCTTCCAGGTTACTCCACACCACACTGCGTGTTTCATTCTGGTCAGGTATGTCCATCCCCAAAGTGAGAGCAAAGCACACATTTGAAATTTCCTATATTCCACTTTTGCACCTGAAAATAAGGCTTTCTTCTGGGCTGTTGCATGGAAAAAATCCTCCCCGGTGCTTATTTGGTGTTGGCATGCACTGTCAGGGAGGTGGCTGGTGGCAGCAGTGTGAGGAGGAGCTCACAGCCATTCCAACTCCAGCCACTGCTCAGGGACCACTGGAGGGTGTGAGGAGTGCAGATCCCTGGGCAGTGTTGTGGGTGAATTCCATGTCATTTAGTTCTTGTGGTTCCATCTTTGGATAAAGATTCATTTGGGAAAGTCTTCCCCCCCCTAAATCTCTGTAAAGCTCCAGCCCAGTGTGGCCTGTCAGGAATCCCCAGCTGTCCAACCTGACTGTTATTTTTACCCTATTTTATGTGGACTGGACTTAGTTCTGATAGCTGATCTATAGATTAGCAGCAAGCTTGAACCTTTCCTAACTAATGGCCATTTCACTTTCTTTTGTCTTTTCCCCACAGTTGCCTAAATTTGTTTTGTCAGTTTTTCACCAGGGAGCAGAAGAAAAGGCAAAGCTTTCCTGGATCTGCTCTGTCACCCCCAGAGTCCCATTATGTTGGAGCTGCTCCCTAGTGATGGGTCCTGATTCTTTAGCACCCTCTGATATATTAATTAGTGCATACTGCTGGCTTGGCTGTCAGGGAGCTGCCTGCTGCAGTTCTTCCCTGGCTCACAAAGACCTTGTTCCTTTCTCCCTGCAGAACTTGGGCTTCTTCAGAAAGCAGGAATGGACAGCTGATAAATACAGGCATTTGAATCTGTGACTTACTTGGGGTTGGTTTTGATGACTCTATCTGTCGTTGATTTGCATCTGTTTGGCTCAGATGGGGGTAAATTAGTAAATAAGTTTGAGGGAAAGGCAAAAAGAAAGCAGATGAATGAATGGTTGATAGGGCAGGAGAGGGAGACTAGGCAGAATGGGATGGATTATTGGTTGTGTTATTTATTATTATTGGATAGGTTATTGTATTACGGAAAAATAAGGATCAAGCAGTAATCCAAGTAGAGAAAAGAAATAAAAAGGCTGCAAAACTGAAAATAATAGAGAGTCTGAAAAGAATAGAGTGAAACAGAAATAAGTAAGAACTCGGTGTGTGACTACACTTGAAAGAGCAGTGGGTACTTTAACTGTGTGGAGGGGCTGGGCTGGGCAGCAGCAAAGGGGGAAGGGTTTGTGCAGGGAATCTGGGGGGATGCTCAGGGCTGCCCAAGATTCAGAGCCCTTTCATCAAGAGCTTCTGTGCTGTGAGCCACATTAGCAATGACTCTGCACCTTTTGCACAGACCCACACAGAATAATCAGGTAGTGAATTCCCACGTTCCTCTTTCAGACTTGCTGGTTTGGGTTGGCATTTCTTTGTGCCCTCCCATCTTCCTTCCTTTATCACAAAAAATTGACTGAGAAACAGCAGCAGAGCAGCTGAGCACAGCCAGCCAGCCTCCTTGGACTCGGCTGTGTTGAAGCCACCCTGTTTTTCACAGCAGTTCCACGTTTCTGCCTGTTCTCCTTGTCACAGGAGCTCTGCAGGTGCTGCCCTGGGCAGGGCTCCTTGGTTCACACACGTGCTGCCCAGCACTGAGCACTGGGCTGGCTCCTGGGAAAGGGGGCTGGGGCTCAGCAGGGGAATTTCCTTAGTCCATTCCTGCTCCCCGTGGTCCTGGCTTGGGAATTCCTCCCTGTTCACAGAGCAGCAGCAATTGTTGCTTCTCCTGCCCACCACGTTTATTTTCTCTTTGTTTTTATGTTTTATTAGGGGGTGAGGGGAGCTTCCAGGCACTTCTAGTTTGCCTGCTTTCTAACTGCTTTTGACCTCTGTCCCTTAAATTCTTACTGTAGCACTTAGCTTTCAACAGTGATTATAAGTATTCACATGTTAATAAAGAAATATGTATTTAAACTGGTTTAGTTTTGAAGAGAAAAACATTTCCACCCTGTGTCTGCATTGCCTCCATCACAGAAAGACTTCTTAGAATTAATTGGGGATTCTAATAGTTAATGGACAGCACTTTACCATTGATGTGTGTATATTTATATTGACTCTAGTGGTTCCCCACAACCCAGCTGAGAGTGGACTCCTACAGTAATTACTAAATTAAATTTTGGCATTCCCTGTCCCAGACACCTCACGGCCTGGGGGAAAACAGGGAAAGCACAGCAAGTAAAATAAAGAAACATAAAATGGTAGCACAGAGAGACCATCATGTCCAGCAGCTCCACAGGGGCTGGTGCACATTACTGGTGGGAATGACAACAATGGCTGTGTTGTCTCAGGGAAGGAGGGATGCTCCAGTAGCTCAGGCAAGCCATGGGGATCAGCTTCTGTGGGCTGTCCTGAGCCCCTGGACACACAGGGAGGCCGGGACACTTCTCCTGGTGACGTCTCTCGTTCATCCCTGGAGGAATGAGTCACAAAAGTGAAGATGACAATTCACGTCTTGAAACACACGCGTGCTAAATAAAAAATGCCCACTGGAAGGAAAACGTCTCATCTGCCCTGGGAGAAGCTTTGGGAAGATGATTGATTGATGGATTTATTGATGGTTTCCCTGCTGTCTCCCTGCCCACGCCAATGTTCCTGTCTCTGTTTCTGTTGTTTCCCCAGCAGTTGTATGCTGCCCAGCTTGCTGCCATGCAGGTGTCTCCGGGAGGGAAGATCCCTGGCATTGCCCAGGGGAGCCTCGGTGCTGCCGTGTCCCCTACCAGCATCCACACAGACAAGAGCACAACCAGCCCTCCTCCCAAAAGCAAGGTACTGTACCTGGGCCTGGGCTGCGGGGGCTTTGTTCCAGGCTTTCCTTCCCCCTGGAATGGGAGGACTTTGTTAAAACATCCAGGAAGAATTCAGCTGAGGAATGCAGGGACAAAGCAGTCCTGTGTGGGTGACAGGAAGAGCTGGGTAAAAAATGTGTCCTTCCTTTTTGTTGGTGCCTTCCAGCATGCTGTCCATGTCCTTTATCAGCTCAGGAGGGATCCCTTGAATTGACAGTGGTGTCTTGTTTTTACCCTAACAGTAAAGCAGCACAGATTAAAAATAACCAGACAAATAAATAATACCATTGTCAGCCCAGTGAGATTCAGGTTCAGGGAATGAGACATGGCTTGAAATCAGGAGCTGCTGTGCTGATGAATCAAGCTCTAGGTTGTCTCTTCTCTGTCTCCTTACTGCAGAGTTTCTGACTTCCTCTGGCTTTTCCTTGGCTTTTCCTATTCTCTTAGAGCAAGAAATCACAAAGCTGTGCAATACTTGATTGTAGATTTTTGGGTTTTCTAAAACAGTGTTTGTTTACTCAGTTTGTGCATTTTACAAGGGGGGAAGTCTTGTGTGTGGCTGGCAGCTTGTGGATCTCCTACACTCAAAGTCTCAGGGTTGAATTTGCTTCTCCTGTGCAGCAGGAGAGTTTCTCTGGAGATCTAAGGGCACAGTGTGTATTTTGTGGCAATTCCAGGATACCAAGGCCTGCCATGTCTGCTGGTAACATCAAACATAACCATTTTTAACTGGCAGCTGTCAAGATCAGCTCTGTTCTCCCCTTTGTTTTATTGCTTTCTCGTATTTTCAGGTGTCCCAGTGCCTTTGGCTTGCAGCTCCGTAGGAGACAAACAGAACTTATTTTGCAAAGTGGGGAGGGGGGGGGAAACAGTAAGCTAAAAAAGTGGGCCCAAAGGAAAGGAAGGGGGCTCCAAAAGGCTGTGAAATTGTGCAGAGTAAGTCCCATGCTGCATGCTGTTTTCAATCTGCTGTGTGCCAGCTGGAGGCTCGCAGAGAGCGCGAGGGAAGGGAAGGGATAATGCTGAGAAATGATAGAGTGGCTGTGACCTCCCAGCTCAGCCTGGAAATCCAAGACATGGATTTCACTTAGCATTCCTGCTGAGAGACCGGCGCAGTTCAGCTGGAATGAAAGAACGAGCCTCTGTTCCAGTGGCAATGGTGTATGACAGACATGTCCCTCTGTCTGTCTGTCCTCAGCACTGCACACAGGGCACCTGACCCGCCTGGGCTGCTGGGCCACTGCTGCTCTGAGCTTTGAACCAGCCTGGAAGCACAGTTATTTATAATGCTAAATGGTAAAGAAACCTTTACAGAGCCCACAGTAATTAGAATAAAGCTTGCACAATAGTGCAGTGGCCTGGCTCAGAAAACACATTGGCAAATCCATCATAATGGCAGAAACTGAAGCTTATGTGTTGGACCTAAACACCTTCCTTGGTGTCTGTGTGGACCTTTCTTTGCTTTTTCAAAGCTTGTTTGTGTTTAACAGCTCCAAAAGTTTATTTTCTTTGCTGATATTTTTTATATGTAATTTTTTCTAACTGTCGTCAGGGAATACGTCTTGAGTTTCACAGACTTTTTAAATTATTTTTTTTTTAAATCCCCATAAGCAGTTTTGTTCCTGAAGTTAGTTTGTGGTGATCTTTCTCACTCTTGCTGTACATCAGACCTCCACAGATGAATAGTTAATGCCTTAGAATAGCTTTCAGTAGATGCTGTTTACTGAATCAGCCCACAGTTTACACTGGCACAGCTTTGGTAATACCCTCGAGTGTTTGGAGACAAGGAGACAGCCTTACCTGAGAGCGTGTCAAGCTACTGGCAAACATCTAGGTCACTTCTGAAAAGCTGTGGCTTTTTCTTCTCTTGTGTAGTGTTAAAGTCAGTGTGCTGCTCTTTGCAAGGATTCTTCAAAGTCAGCCTCAGCAGCAGATGGAACAACTGTTGGCTCTAGCAATGCTGAGAAGCATCAGGGGGAGTTTGCCAAGGATCATCCTTTAAATCTAGTAAGACTTGAAAACATCCCTGAAACTCCTCTAAGACCTTGGCAAGTCCTTTTTGGCTGGGCTTTTACGGGTGGCCTCAGCGGTGTTTGAGGGCCGGGCTGGCCGGGCCTCTCCTGCCCTGCTCCGCTCCAGCCTGGAAGAGCCCGTTCCCTTCCCAGGCTCTGCCTTCAGGAGCCGCACACATTCTGTCAGGTTGTGGTAGGAACCCGAGCTGGTGCCCTGCCTTCTTCCAAGAGGAGATCCCTGCCAGAAAAGCTGATTTAAGAAGCAGAGCTGGTGGAGGCCGTCCAAAAGAGAAGCGCGTGTCTTGCGGAAATGGATTTGAGCGCGGCTCCTTCCCGAGCAGCTCAGAAACAGCCGGTATGCTAATCAGAGCGTTCGCAGCCACCGAGCCTCCCACAGCCGCTCCGAAGGCAGGCAGCTATCTCTGCCCGCTGCCAAGCGGGCCGGACTTCCAAGGTCTGTCTGGAGCGCGTTCTGCCTTTGGTGGTGTCGGTGCCTGCGTGCTGCCCCGCCGGCTGTGGAGGTGCTTGTGGCTCCCGAGTGCAGAGGGCAGGCAGAGGTGCACATAAGGACTGGGCAGAGCAACCTCCCAGCCCCTCCTGCGGCTCGTCTCAAGCCTCTTGCTTGTACAAGATGAAACACAGCAGTGTTGTGGACGCTGTGTGTGTCTGAGCTGTGACCTGATGGCTCCAGCCTTCCCTGCCTTCAGACCAGGTGCTTCGTACCCTGCTTGAGGACAGCAGCTTCACCCCCACTTGGACATGGCCAGGGCGCTGTTCATTCCTGCCTTGGTGTCTTGGTTTTTACGTGGCGTGGATAAATACAGCACCTAGTGCCTGCATGCTGCAGTGTTCTGGCCCTTTCCATGTGGCCTTTCAAGTGCAGTAATTCTGGAGTGAGTTCTCAGCTTGTAAATGTAGCTAAACGTTCCCCCTATTAAATGGAGCACAGTGTATTGTCTGTAGCATCTGCTGTAAGACAGGAGCAGTTCAGTGTGAAATGTGACAGGAGAGAGTTCCTGGGCACTTTTCTTTTAACCTTGCTGTGGCCTCAGCCCTAACCCTACTCACAGTTGTGTCTCCATCAATGACAAGAGCACACAGATTGTCCAAATCAATTTTTTTTTTTGTTCCATTCAAATGCTTCTGGCAGCGACGCTCCACAGCAGCACCTGGGAGTTGTGACAAGGAAAGGAAATGTGTTTCAGACAAGCCAGAAGCAGCACTAAGCAGCTGGATATACACAGTCAGTTTCTCCTCAGCTGCAGTATTCAGAGAAATATCAATCTGAGTCTTTAACTGAAGAGGGTGCTTTAGTTTCACACTATCTGATCGCCAAAGTGAACACTGCTGATGGGATCTTCTTCGTGTCACCTATGGGCCGCGATCAAATGGCCTTTGAAAGTTTGAGTGCTTGTGCAGATTGGCCTTGGGATGGCCAGAGTCTCTCCAGAAGAACTTCTTCCATCTCTGAGGAGTGTCTGCTGGTGGTGCTGCAGCTGCCAGCATCCCCAGCTGTGCCTTGCGTCCTGGCTCTGCACTGGGAGGGACAGGAAGGGAGCGAGCTGTGCCTGCTCCATCCTCCTCCAGGGAAGGGCAGGGAGCTGCACAGCCTCTCCTGGCTTTCTTACCCACTCCATGTGGGACCAGGGAAGAATAAAGAGTAAGAGCCTTTGGGAATGGGCATTTTAATTCAGACACACCACGGGCTGTGGTACCGGGAAAGGTAAGTGAGCTGGTTGTGGATGTTCCTGTCCCAGGCAAAACTGATGATGGGACTACCTGGTTTTGGTAGGAAAGCTTTCTTTATAAAAATATAGTGGAAAAAAGAAAAGGAAGACATCTGAAGGAAAGAGGAAAAAGGCCCTAAAAGAGTAAAAAGGCCCATAAAACTCATCTGTGTGATATTGCTGATTCTACTTCAGGGAAATTGTTGACTTGAACTTCATTTTCAAAGACTACCCTAAGCAGCCCTGTTAAGCTGGGTGCATTTGTCTCCCTTTCTCTCATCTCTCCCTTTCATATGGTGGTGCAGAATGTGGAATTCTGTCCTGGGGAGGTCTTGGGGAAAGCATTAGTCCCCATTCTGTGCACAGCTGCATCACTTGCCACATGGCTGTGAGTGTGGAGAAGCCTGGCTGAAAAGTGGGCACACACACTCCTTGTACCCTCAGAGCTGCTATTTTTGAACATGCTAATGGACAGCATCCAGTACAAATTAATGAAGTGGCTGTGTACAGGTGATCAGAGAGCATGATTGTGTTGGAGGGGGACAAATTCCTGTCTCTGAAGAGCAGAGAAGAGGAACCTGTCTGGAATTAACCCCATCTTAGCACATGTGAGACCCCAGGTACTGCTGGCAGTCCTTGTCCTGTTTGTGGTTGGAGGGCTCAGCAGCTGCTGAGTGCCTGGCCAAGGGAATGGAGGCATCCCTGTTTTCAGTAGGGCACTGAGGTATTTTAGAAGGACAGCAGTTCTCATTAAAGTGATGCAAGACACAGCGTCCCTGATAAAACACTGGGCTATATTTACAGAACTTCTATCTCCAACATTTGCATCTCTTCTATTTTTGAGAGTTTCCAGGCTGGACACAATTCTTCATATGCCACTGATTTAAAAAAAAAGTCCTTGCTAAATTAATCTATTAATCTTTTCAGCACCGGAATAACAATTAGCACTAGAATATTATACATCAGTACATCCAAAACAGTTTTCAGTGATTGCATTTCCCAGTCCCCTTGCCAGAGCATCAGACAGGTCAGAAATAGCTGTAAGGTAATCAAGGGAAAGTGTACAGTACAGATGCAGTGATGAGTAGGGAGCTGTAAACTGAGCCCTCATCTGTGCTATGCTCTTTCCTCAGACTCCCTGTCCATTTTTGTGGTTAATAATCTCTTTACCTGGGAGCCTTTCTCATTTGCTGCCCATGCTTTTGATCCTAAATAGTAAAATGGGGAGTTGGTGACAGAAT